GGCAGCTGATCGATGTTTCTCTCTCATCGATGTTTCTAACTCTCTGTCCCTCCCTCTCCCTTCCTCTCTGTAAAATATCAATAAAATATATTAAAAAATATTATTAGGCTAAAATATGAAAGCTCAGCAGTCAAGTTAAAAAGAAAGAGATCATTTAAAAAAATAATAACTAATACAATGCTCTGTAGTTCCTGTTACTTTGTTCCTCTCCCCACTTAACCCCCAAGACTGTGCTACTTGAATTAAAAAACTTTTCTTAGTCTTTGTTGTATACTTAGCACTGCAGTCAGTATCTGGCACATGTGACATTGAGTGAGGGTTGGCTGTTTGCACAGACCAGATGGTAGCTGTGTTGGAGCTAGTTAACTCCGAATTGATTAGGATAATTACTTATGGCTCATCTTAGAGTATTTTGAAGATTGAGTGAAGGAAATCACACTGGAAGTTTAGGCATGACCTCTTGGATCTCAAAGCAGGTTGCTTGGAGTTTGAATGGTGAGAGAACAGGGGAAGCTTGCTCCCTTCTTAGGTGTACATTTTTAAATTTTTATCTCAGTTCTGTTTAAATTTCATTCTTTTTGGTTACAGGTTAAGAAATATCCTCTCAGTGGTCGGTACTGATGCCTTAAAAAAAACTAAAAAAGATGATGAGAAATCTAAGAAGTCCAAAGAAGAGGTAAAATATGTCTTTACCTTCGTAATGTAAATATGAAGGAGATGAGGGGATAGTTTTCTCATTTTATGTTTTCAGTGGTTTGCTTTGCTAGGATTGGGGGTAGGAGGGTTGAAGACTCTACCATTCAGGAATCGTTGTTGGCAATAATATATGGTTTCTATGTAGATATAAATGGAGATTAGTGAGTTTCCCATTCAGAAAAGAACTATAGCATTCCTCATGTAACTTAACAGGGAACCAGAAGCCATATAACAAGACCTCACAGAAAGAAATAGTAGAAGCACATGCCTGATTTCATCCTGTTACTGAACTACTTCACCTTTATTCTGGGCAGTTAAAATAGGGAATTGACAGCTACAAATGGGGGCAGGAATGACGGGGAGAGAAACATTGATCGGCTGATTCCTGCATGCACCCTGACTAGGAATCGAACTGGGGACCTTCTGGTTCACAGGATGATGCTCATCCAACTGAGCCACACCAGCCAGGGGAAAGAACTATAGCATTCCTCGTGTAACTTAACAGGGAACCAGAAGCCGTCTAACAAGACCTCACATAAAAAAACAGTAGAAGCACATGCCTGATTTCATCCTGTTAC